AAACTTTTGTGCTCTTCTTTTGTGACTAGTCTTCTATGTTTCGACAGCATTTTTGGCATAAAATCCCACCGTAGAGTTTTTCATTTTAAGGGTTAACTCTTCACAAGTTACGCACGTATCGACCTGAGGTCTGCCGAACCTTAGCGAAAACGTATTCTTGAAATAGTTTACATAAAATGCATAAGTAACCTTATATTCCGGATGCTTTTTCATGAATAATGAATGCATACTTTTCACATTCAAAGCGGCAACTAGATATTCTATATCTTTACCTGAATAATGAGTTTTCTTTCTGGGAAATGAAAGAATATTTTCATGAATTGCTTTCAAAATTTCGGAACGAGTTGTGTTGGCTTTTGGATGCTTACTCCTTCTAACTTTTGGAGTCTACGACTGTTGATGCAAGATGCACAAGCGACGAACGCGATCTGCAGTGACGCCCCAGATAGAAACGAACGCTTTTTTGCATACCAGTTTTCTTCCACCAGAAGTAACGATGTAGCATTTAAAAGAAATTTCCATTTGTATAGATCCTCCTTTACGAGGTCTATGAGTTTTTACTGCGCCTTTCTCAATTAGTTGTTGCAAGAAAATATGTTGTTACTTTCGAAAATCGTATTTTTTGAAATTTTTGTTTTGTCTGTCCGTTCTCCGTTCACGTCTTTTGGTTTTTCCTAAACATCTTTCGAACCGCTGAAGCTACAAAATTGAAATTTGCATCCTTTTTAACCCTCCACGGGACACATAAGCTTATAAGAAATGGCACTGATACGACGTCGGTATCCATCTTTTTTTTCGCGATTTTCGACTGTTTTTTGGACCTTGCTATGAAGCACGATAAGTGGCCGAAATTTGAAGCAATCGACTTCATATTGAACACATATATGCAGCTTTGTCCCGTGACGCAACCTATTGAAAATCGGGTGGCTGGGGGGTCGGGAGGTATTCTAAAAAAATAAAAACTCGAGAGTGCAAGGTTCTGCAAAAAACATCATTTTCCAAAAACTGTTTACGTGACCAAAAAAGTTCTCAAACTAGAAGAAGCAGCAGATACGGCTGTATAAACCTTTATTCCTGACAATTTTTCAAAAATATACAGGGTGCGCCAGAAATTCAAAGAAACTGAAAAATGCGTCCCCCTATTATTGAAAATTGGTTATAACTTTTTTTTTGTATTGCAATATAGCCCGCATAGACAGAAAAAACTTTTGTATTTAAGGTTTTCACCTATTGTACAGGATGTTCCCAATATTCCGTGCTTAATGAGAAATGTGTTAAGTGTCCTCAATTTGCAGATATCAAATGATGATAGAGCAGCAACGTAAAAGTCCGTGTCCACATTTAAACGGTAGAAATTGGGCTCAATAAATTTTGCCAAGCATTTTAAAAAAAAAAATTGAAATTTTTTTTTGGGAATTTTAACTTCCACAAAAATATGTTTTCTTCCATAATTGTTCACCCGATCGGCAAAATTCTTTAACCGGCAGACGTAGAAGATTCAGTGCAATAACATTTATTTCGGGCATTTTTTCGATTATATACAGGGTTTTGAAATTATTTATTATTATTTTATAATTTACAGAGTAAATTACTAGCCGCAAATCAAAAATCATAAAAAATATGACCAATTGATTCAAACCGTGTCATAGGTCGTATCAAGAGATACAATTTTTGAATTTGTGGTTTTCGCCTATCAGATACGCCGCTCGGGATATTTGAAAAAATACATATTGAAATCGTTATTTCGGGGACTGTCAAGACGCGATGACGTCATTGATTATTACGGCGCACTGCACTATATTTTCAAAAAATTCTTGAACCAGGACGCGTGGAAAATCCAGGGCTATAATCTCTACTTCGAACAATGATTGCATCATATACAGGGTCGTTTATGGGCAAAGAATCTAAAATATCCTAAAAATTTCCGTTTTTGTGGGTGAATTATTGGCGATAAATGAAAAACCGTTAAAGATGAGATAATTTCATTTGAACAGTATCGTAAAGCATGTCGTGAAAGAGTATCAGGTTTCATCAATTATACGGGGATATTTGAAAAAATGTATTTCGATATCGCTATTATTTGTGCAAATTTTAACATTTACCAATGTTTGCTGTAACTTTGAAGTTACATGAGATGTGAAGGGCATTTTATACAGGGTGCTTGCACAATTAAATTACATCGATTTTCCGAAATTTCTATAGTGGTCCGCAGGAGCGCCATAGAAAAACAATGCGTCCCTTTACCACACGAAACCGCGAATTTCTTTCCTTTTATAATAAAAAGCTGCTTCGCGCTACGCGCTACGAACTTGCCCCGCCCAGTAACGATTTTTCGAAAGCAATCTTGTTCATCTTTGGAATGGAACCCGTTTAGCCTAGTAAGACATAATTTCATATCGTCTTTTTCATTTTACATCTGAAAACAAGATTTTTCCTATAACACACTATACCTAAATTTAATGCACACAAAAACGTTACCTGCAATCTGGTCCAGTGGCTCTTGACGGAAATTTCTTTCCTCTCCAGTTCGTATGTTCACAAATCGCTTATACTGTTCTGGATGTCTCTTTTTTAGTGGCTGTTGAGTTTCTTCGTCACTACCGGAGTCAGACATTGTCGATAAAACACTCAAAAATATTAACGAATAAATCACTGTCGTATTAAAAGGGTGTAAACAGTAGACTAACATGATCGTCGAGAGAAAATAAACAAATTCATGCGTCACGCATCCCCGCCATCGAATCTGCCCTAATCCGCCGCTCTGCCCAATAACGCCAAAAGTCACCGACCAATGTGGTTTTCACACTGAAGAGTCAAAATTCAGTATTAATATTTTCTGATTGGGATTTTAACACAAATTATGTAAATTGACATTTTAAACCCGTTCATGGCAAAAACCCATTTTCGACAGAAATTGACTTATGGGGTTTTTGAAATGAGCGATTCATTTGGAAAACTCACAACAGTTCTTCGTTTCTAGACATTATTAATTGAAAACCAGACTTAACCTTTTGTCATATATTTCGAAATTGTGATACATTCCTTATTTTTCAGAGCTATATCTCTTTCGCAACACGAATATCTTAAGCAGGAATTAACACATCTCACCTCATTTCCAATCTCGGGCAATTTCCGTTATCAAGAAATAAGACGATTCACAGAAATAAAAACCCCGTCCAGTCTCAAACAAATTTTGTCGCTCGAGTCCAAATTTTATCTCAACAACACAACAGAACTGTCGCCAGAATTTACGCCAGTCAAAGGACAGATTTCGATTCTGAATAACATAGGCCTTCTAAGGGTGTTTTTTTTCGATCTATAGAACTTTAAGTTGCAATAAAACAACGATGGATTATTCGATTGACATTACATTTTAAATGTGATTTCTGGTATATGACCGCCACGGGTGGCGCAGATGTAGTCCAATTTGGACTTCCAATTTTCGATGACTTTTTCCAACATTTGTGGCCGTATATCGGCAATAACACTTCGAATATTGTCTTCCAAATGGTCAAGCGTTTTTGGCTTATCCGCATAGACCAATGACTTTACATAGCCCCACAGAAAGTAGTCTGGCGGTGTTAAATAACAAGATCTTGGAGGTCAATTCACAGGTCCAAAACGTGAAATTAGGCGGTCACCAAACGTGTCTTTCAATAAATTGATTGTGGCAAGAGCGGTGTGACATGTTGCGCCGTCTTCTTGAAACCACATCTCCTGGACATCATGGTTATTCAATTCAGGAATGAAAGAGTTAATAATCATAGCTCTACCGTTGACTGTTACGTTCTGGCCATCATCGTTTTGAAGAAGTACGGACCAATGATTCCACCAGCCCATAAAGTGCACCAAACAGTCAGTTTTTCTTGATGTAACGGTGTTTCGACATACACTTGAGGATTAGCTTCGCTCCAAATGCGGCAGTTTTGTTTGTTCACGTAGCCATTCAAGCAGAAGTGCGCTTCATCGCTAAACAAAATTCGCTTATGAAAATCGCGAACTGTAATCTCGTTTTGGGTCCATTGGATGGATCTACGCCTTACTTGATGATCGTTTCGCTTCAATTCTTGCACGAGTTAGATTTTGTAAGCACGTAAACCAAGATCCTTCCGTAAAATCTTCCATAAAGTGGATGGACACAGATCCAATTCCTGTGCTCGATGGCAGATGGACTCATTCGGGTTTTCCTCAATGCTACGCTCTACAGCAGCAATAACTTCTTCTGTACGCACCGTACGGCGTCTCTGGGGATGCGAGTTCCATGGTCAAAAAATACACTTCACCACAATCTTCCAATAGCAATGAGGTCGAAAGAAATCCTACACTTGCCACTGTGGTCCTTCCTTACATTCAAAACATCACTGACCATGTATCAAAAGTTCTAAAGAAGTATAACGTCGAAACCAGATTTACCACTTGTCCAAAAATCTCTGAACATCTGCGGTCCGTGAAAGACAAAATTCCATTTGAGATGCCAGGAGTTTACAGCATTCCATGCATATGCGGCAAAGAATACATTGGAGAGACCGGACGAAAAATATCAACTAGGCTCAAAGAACACGAAAGAGCCTTACGATTAAGACAAATAAACTCATCAGCTGTTGCCGAACACACTATAAACAACCTAACAATCTTAATCGCGACTCAGGTCTCTACCCGGCCCCAATCTGGGAATCAGTCATCCGAGAAGGTGTTTACGCCCCTAATTAGCGCCCCACCCCCCTCAAGCAATATATATGCAGGTACAGAGTACAGAAGTTTTGTAAAAGGCAAAAATTTAATTATGTGTATACATTCCTAGCTATTAACTTATTGTATATATTTCATGTCATTGTTATTTCTTAGTGTAATTTAATACGATTATATTCACCCAAATAAACAAAAAAATATATATTATTAACAAAATTGCCGCCAAAAACCAGCACGATGAAGATTGAGACATGCTATATGTCAGCACCTTTATTACTATTGAATGCAGGTTTTAAAACAAATCGTTTCAGGTGCTGGAAAGGTAGCCCACGCAGACGAATTAGCTTATCTCTTCAAGATATCTACATTTCCTATAACTACCGACGCCGATTTATTGACGAGACAAAGGATGGTACGCCTCTGGGCTAACTTTGCCAAAACACTGTAAGTTATTTTATTGACTCGACGACAATATCAACGATCTGTCTCTTCGTAGTTCTACGTTTAAGGGTCTAAGCAAGTTTTCATTCTAGCAATCCCACCCCTGATCAATCAGACCCGATATTGAACATCACGTGGCCCCAAGTGAATCCAAACGACATCCGCTATCTCGATATCGACACAGGTTTGACAGTAAAACCAAATAGGAAAGTTAAAGAGTACGCTATGTGGAACCGCGTCTTCTATAAATATGGAACCCAGCCTTTTACAGGTTTTTGATGAAGTTTTTAAATGTTGAATAAAATTCCTTTGAGTTTTATTGATTCGTTCATCGTTTCTCTGTACATAATTTTAGTATACCTTGTGTTATTATTTATTCCCCCGAGGGACACTCATTTTCATATGAAAAACCTTCAGTTTATTTTTAATATTGTCAAATTTTGGCTGTTTTTAAAAAACCGTTGTTGTATAGTGTCGTAAGTATGATCGTTTCTTTGCGATTCAAAAAGTGACTTATTTTTATATACTTAGACGATTTCATATCTACAGGGTGTTATTGAAATTACATCATAAAAGTCCTAAAAAAATTGCTGTGTAAATTTGGTATAAAAGGCTTGTTCTTGCCACTGGATCTTTAGAGTGGATAAAATAATAAGCCATCCATTAAGCTTTGCCATTTTTAATAGGCTTATAAAGTTATGAAACAGCTTTCAGTGGACTTATTATTATGTGTACTACCACTGCAAAGGATTCCAGGTTAATTTTTAACAAGAACATTACCAATTTCATAAATTCAAGCCCCAGTATTTTTCTTCCACTATTGACTAGGAAAGTTTGTTCAGCTGACGACGAGAACCAGCTGTCTGTCATTGGCCGAATTATCCTGGTAGTCGTGGCCATAGAAGGAAAGAAAAAAAAGAAGCTCTTTGTTCATCTGACGTCTGAAATGTCATAAAATGGACAAGGAATAGAGACGAAAAATCAGAGTAGCAAATACATAAAGGAATGAACAAAGAGCTTCTTTTTTTATTTTTCCCTCTTTGTTCCTCATTAGTTTGTCTGTTTGTCAGCATAATTCGCAATATGGATCGTAATACCTTTCTCGGACTACTGTTTTACATATTTTTATCTTGTTCTCTCGGTTCATATATTGGTTTTGTCATATTGTTTGCCTCCGTTTTTTATTTCCTTATAGTGGAGCCTAAGTAATTAAATGCATTTGCTCTATCGTATTTCCATCCAGATTTTGTTAAATCTAATAGGCTCTCCAGATATCACCATGGATTTCGTTTGGTGCCCTGGCATTTTTGCTGTGACTTTAAAAGTGTGTAAAATTTTTTGTAGGTTGTCTCCACTGTTTGGTAGCGTTCCCATTTTCTGGCTTATTGAATTATTTTGATTCAGTTAAACAAAAATTGGCTCAGAAATTCTGATCTTATTGGTATTGCCTCCGTTGTTCCCTGGGATGTGGGTTCCACATTTCTTTTCCATCAATCAATCTCTTCAAGCTGCTTCAGGTCGCTTCTGCTGGGTTATTTTCAATATTAATATCACTAAGTTTCTAGTGAAGTTTAATTGTTGGATGGTCAACTCTCTGAATGCTCTATTATCTGGGTTTTGACGTTTCTTGCTATTATTTGATAGCCTCTATTGATTGCTCACGCAACTTCTTTGTCTTTTAACACCGCAGAAGGTTCATGCTTTTAAAAAAAATACTAACCAATCAAGAATGCATTATTTTCAAAAAAAGATACAATAAAAAGTTCTACACAAATTATTCAACCAGCTACATTAGCTATAAACACTTCCAACTCATTCTAGATTGGAGTACATTCCATGCATTTCCTTTTTTTTTCCATTAGTAATCCCAAATAAACTGCGATTGATTCACAATATCACAAACACTGTTATCAATTGTGTCTCCAAAACATTCATTTGCAACAAACTTAATTTTATAGTTATTTGTTTTGTACTTTACTTATTTATGATTCGCCCTTTAGAACCTAGATGGAACAGGTTTAACGAAGAATTTGCTACAAGAATGAATTTTTGAAACGGCAGTAGAAAATCTGTTATCGTTTTGGAATTTCTATCTAAAACATTCTGCACCTCCACGATAATCCTTATACATATTAAACCCTTCCATTGCCACTGTTACATGAAGCTATTACCAACGAAAATAATATTTTTGTTAATTGTGCTGAGGTGGCTTTTACTTGATGAAAATCTATTTAAGAAAATAAACAAAAATTGAAAATTATTTTAATTATTATTTATTTTATTTTTATTTTTATTAAAATAAATCCAACTCGTCATATGAATTTTACTAAGTTCCAGAAAGTGGGGTTATGTTATAACGTGACAGAATACAATCGACACGTTAAGAACCGTTTGATACGGGACAATATTTTAACCTAAATTGTATACAATTGGTTGCGCGCGCGTTTTTAGTCAACAATAAAATAGAACATTTCCTAAATTCTTGCATAAAATTGACTGAACATGCGCAATTCCTAATTCCGATTGTTTTATTAATGAGGTTATGTTTGTTTAGCTGTGATTTTGCGAACTTTGGTTCAGTTTTTTACAGTTTACTAAATTTTTATCTGAACACAGAAAATATGTGAATTCGTTAAAAAGCGGATTGGGAACTGATAAGGTATATACTATGAATAGTCACGATTTATTGAAGTACAGATTTACAAACCCAACATACGGTATTATGAGCAGATGTATTAGCATTATGCATTATGCATTATTATTATTATTAACATTATGATACCGCTAACATCTCCTACAAGTCCTGCAATAACTGAGTCTTGTGAGAACTCTAGAGATTTACTTTTATACTCTCAATCTGAAAAAATTGTATATAATTCTGTAACTGCTATCTTAAATGAAGAGTTACTGTATTTACATTATTGTGACATGTATAACTAAATATTGTGCCCACATTTTAGGAATTGCAGTTTATGACTAAGGCAACAGGTATTCAATTAATATTAATAGAGTTGATAATATTCCTGCATTGATTGGTTCTCAGCGTGTAAAATCAACCAAATTTAGTTACGAACAATATGCAGAGAAGAAAAAGACGTGACAATACTGAAGATGAGACTATTAAAAGCGCCAATAAAGTCTTGTGAAGGACATAAGTACATCTATTGCAGCACGTGCAAGTGCCACCGATCAGAACAAAGCTAAAATCCACTTGAAAGTGAAATAATTGGTGAATATGTTATCAAGCAATTAACAGCACTTGAGGAGGACGAGGAACTCTTTTTAGATACTCAACACATTATTGCATAAATTGCATTGCATAAATTGCAATTTATATAAGCAAAACATTTATTGAATAAAAACGTTTACATATTATCTTTCCGAATCATATTATTCTGCCATTCCACACTCCCTGAACTATTACAATAAATTTAAAATTCCTCCTGTATCAATTATGCAGGCACCACACTTCTGTTACTTCCTTGCTGTGGAATCTTTTCTAATGAAATTGCTAAAATTTCATTTTGAGATATCTCTGTGTATTTTTTCCAGTTTTCTGTAGCCAGGTAATTATGAAGAACGACACATGTTAAAGTAATTATTTCAACTTTTTCTGCATTTAAATTAATGGGATTTAAAAGAATTCTGAATCTATTACCTAAAATTCCAAATGTACTTTCTACAATTCGACGAGCTCTAGAAAGTCTGTAGTTGAAAATTTTTTGTTGACATGGAAAAGGTTTCATAATTCTTGTGGAAAGTTTTAAAGCATCGTCCGCTACAATCACATATGGAACTTCCAACACTCGTCCAGGCAGTGGTCTATTTTGAGGGAAAAGTAAATATCCTGAAGACATAGCTTTAAATAAACCACTTTCTCTAAAAACTCCACCATCACTGGTCCTTCCATTTACTCCCGCGTTACAGTAAATTATTTTGTATTTTGCATCTGCCATAGCCAAAAGAACAATGGAGTGATCAACCTTATAGTTATAGTAATACGATCCTGCCGAAATAGGTGCCTTAAATTTTATATGCCGTCCATCTAAAGCCCCAATGCAATTAGGAAACTGCCATAATGCGTCAAATTCTTCGGCTATAGATAGATAGATAGATAGATAGATAGATTATTTATTCACAAAACCAGGTGATACAATGGATGTTTCGTCAATAAATACAAATAAGAAATTACAAGTTTCATTGTAAAAACAATGTATATCATAATCTTAAGTAATGTGTAGAACGAATACGAGTATATATTTATATAACAAACATGACAAACAAGTTAATGTAATTTAAAATAAAAGAGAGTATACATTAGAAAAATCTCGTTAAACTTTTGACGTTATTTACGATGCTCTCAGGTACGCTTCAAATTCTTTCAGGCTGTAGAAAGCATTGGCCGTCAGGAGCCTCTTGATGTGTTTTTTAAATTGATTTATAGATAAATTTTTTAAGCTTGGAGACAGCAAATTATAATAATATGGTCCCGCGTAACTTAGTGATTTTTTATAAAACATATGGTTGAGTTTTGGCTTCAGCAGATGTTCTCTATTGCGAGTATTGTAACTGTGGATATCAGTATGCTTCCTATGTGAATATTTATTTGTATATTGTATTTATTAAAGTATTTTAAAAAGGTATATACAAGGCATTGTTAATATTTTGAGCTGTTGAAATGTCTCTTTGCATGATTGCCTCGGAGGAAGTTTAAAAATCAGCCGAAGTATTCTTTTTTGCTGTATAAACACTCTCTCAGCATCATTCGCTTGTCCCCAGTTGACAATATTGTGTGAAATGGAAGAGTAAGCTGACGCGTAGTAAAAAGCTATTAGTGCCTTCTCAAGAAATGAATCTTTAATTGTTAATATTGCGAAAAAGGTTTTATTTAGTTTATTGCAGACATTGTCAATGTCCCGGTCCCATCTCAAGGAGCTATCAATATAAGAACCAAGAAACTTCGTGGTCTGATTTATTTCCAATTATTGACACGGATTTTTATACGATTTTTAATATTTTTTTTACCCAACTTATCGTTAACTAGTTCCCACAATTTTTTATTTTTATTGTCAGAAAGATTTATTAAACCAGAAAAAAAGGCCTTCTTTTCTTCGGCAATCTGTTTGTTTACTAGATTTTTTAGCATTTTATAGTTTTTGTGTACCGTTACAGTAGATATATAGTGCCGATATAAGCAACAGAAACCGTACATAACCTCAAATTCCTAACCCCCCCGCAGCGGGGGCCCCCCGCGCGTGGCGTCCTAGTGTCCCCCCTGTCTACCAGAGTGCGCTCCGCCCCCCACCCAGCTTGTGTAGCGTCC